AGTACATACAATAGTGTGACACGTGACCCGATACAGTGCATACAATAGCGTGACACGTGACCCGATACAGTACATACAATAGTGTGAACAATAGCATGACGCATGACCTGATGCAGTACATACATAGTGTAACGCGTGACCCGATACAGTACATACAATAGTGTGACACGTGACCCGATACAGTGCATACAATAGCGTGACACGTGACCCGATACAGTGCATACAATAGCATGACACGTGACCCGATGCAGTGCATACAATAGCACGACACGTGACCTGATGCAGTACATACAATAGCACCACGTGTGACCTGATACAGAACGTGCACAGCGCCACGCGGCACGCACGGCCACCACCGCCCATGCAGATGGCTTTTCCTTCCCTCTGGAGGTGGAGGCGCAGCGGGAGGCTCCGGGAGATGGAGGCCCGCGGCATTGGAGGGAAGCTGGCCGAGGTGGCCCAACCAGCGTCTTCCTTGGGGTCGGTGATGCTGCACAGGCCGGTCCTGGGGTGGAGGTCCTGGGGTGGAGGTCCTGGGGTGGCGATGAGGCGAGGACCTGGCTTGGGGACTGAGCAGGCTGGGCTGGATTCCAGTGGAGCCTCTTAGCAGTGGGGGCCCTTTGGGCTCTCAGGAACCCCAGGGCTGAGACAGGTGATGGGAGCGGGACCCTAACCTGCTTTGGCTGAGGTTTGTGGGTTGGAGTCTCAAAGGGCCCCCTGTTGACAGAAATCAGGGCACCCCCAGTGCAGAGAGGCTGGGTGCAGGGGTCAGGCCAGGAGCCCAGCAGCCCCAGGGAATTCAGCGGGGGTGTGGACCCGAAGTGGTTTTGGACCCTGAGCCCCCAGGGCCGGCCAGCAGGGCCCCGGATGTGGGTCGCAGGCCCAGGCTCTCCGTCAGAGGCCATGGCTGGAGGGCTGCACTCTAAGTGTGTGAACGCCTGGCTTCCCTCTGGCAGTGCTGTGGCCTTTGACTGCTATTCCTGGGGCCTCCACCCGCAGATTTCAAAAGTAGGGGAACGGTTATGGGATGAGTGAGTGACTCCTGGTATTGCGTCACTTGCCAGAAATTGGGGAACAACCAGAAAGCCGAGTTCTGGCTTTCTCGGATCTGCCTGTGGCATTCTCAGCCGTGGTGGCAGAGAGATGGAGCCGCCTGGGGGTGGGAGGGGAAGGTGGGAGAGGCCGGGGGCGCCTGAGGGCAGGGCCTCGGCAGGTGAGGAAACCTTGGCTCTGGGCCCTTCTACTCCAGCCCTGGGCAAGGCGGGGCGGCAGGAGGAGCCCCTCTCTGTGGGGGTAAGGTCACCTTTAGCCTCCCCCCCATGGTCTAGATTGCCCTCCAGCCGGCTAGGGTCCTGTGACCAGGCACACAGTAGGTGTTTGGAAATGCCTGTGGTCACTCCTTCCTTCCACCGACCTGTGTGTGCAGTAGCCGGGCTGGGGCCATCCCAGCAGGTAAGGGGGCTGAGACCCCGGCTTCCACAGCTGTCCCCTCAGCCCCCAGCCCCGTCAGTGGCTGCAACCGGGCTAGTGGGGGTAGGGGAGCTGGGAGGCCCGGAGCACAGACTGCCCTTGGCAGGCCCTGGGGATTCTGGAGGGTGGGGAGGAGGGCGGGGTAGGAGCTCAGTGTGGGCAAGCCCAGCAGAGGGCCCAGGTGGGGGACAGAGCCAGGGCAGCTGGTGGCTTTTAGGGTCACGTTGCTGAATGAATGAGGTGGCCCAGATCTTAAGGTTAGCTCCTTGCTGAGGATTCAAGCCGCAGGCCGCCCACCACCCCTGTTTCCCTTTGGGGAGATTTTGGCAGGCCCTAGCCCAGCGTGGGCCGCTTGCACAGCACGGTGGGCAGCACCCATGCGTCTTCCGCAAAGAGCCTTGTAAAAGGGGCCTGGACTGAAAATCAATGGCTAAAGCCGAAATCAATAACATAACTAATATTAATACCGATTACCCTTTCTCTCGTGCACTTTGCGTGTGGATGAACTGCTTTTAAGGACCAGCAGAGCAAGCTCCGCGGTGCAGAGCGTGCCGGTGGCGGGTGACCGCCTGGGTCGGGGGCGAGGGGGGCCGGGCAGCGGGTGCGTCCTCGTCTTTGAACTTCACCAGGACTTGCTTTCTGGGCCATGGTCCTTGGACAAGGCCTGTGGGACGAGCGGCCAGTCCCGGGCAGAGCCCTGTACTGCTGTGGGGAGGGGCCGGGGTGCTGCGCTCAGGCCGGACGGCCATGCAGGCAGATGCCGAGGGTGGGCCCTGCCTCGGGGGAGCTCGAGCGCAGAGCCGGGAGCGAGGAGATGGCCTCGTACCCCGCCCAGCACGCCGAGGCGGGCCGGCCTGGGGGTTTCTCCGCCAGTAGTGTCCACGGCTCTTGTCAGCTTGTGGAAGTGGGAGTCCAGACTCAGGAAGAGGGTGCCCTGAGAGGCAGACACACGCTCGGGGTGTCTCAGGGCCCATGCCATTTTCCAGGCGCACTCTGGGGGCTGTGTAAGGTCTCTCCAAGGCCAGGTGTTTATTGGGCAAGGCAGAATTGAGGCAAGGGGCCACCTGTCTGCTCCCCACTCTCCAGCAGTGTCCTTTGAGGGCTACAGTGTACTGAGGGCGGGGGGAGACCTCAGGGGGCCCATGGGAGGGACCTGAGCTGACGTTTGTTAAGGATATAGAAAGGGCAATGCTTTCTAAAAAGGGAAGGCTCTGAAGACCATTTGTGTACATGTGTACACATATATGTGCTTATACATGTGAGCATTTTAAGTACACATTGGAAATGATTTATTATACAATGTTACATGGCTGGGTATACTAGAAAATTAGATGCTTTTTGGGTTTAAATGAGAAACTTGAAAAATAATCTAGAGGGAGGGGAAAGAGCCAAAGAGGAGCCAGCCAGTGCTTGTCCTGTCACTTAGTGTGAGCTTCCTAGCAGCCATAGTGATAAAGGAAAGCCCACTGGGTTCACAGTACTTGCCAACAAGAGGAGGTGCCCAGGATCCCCGGAGCTGGTTTCCTGGTGTGAAAGTCCAGCAGTGGTCATTAGATGCTTCCTTGGCCAAGACAGAGCCCATAGCCTCGGGGGCTTTTTTTCTTCAGGTCCTGAGCAGGGGCTGATGTTTCTAAGGTGGTCCCTCAAGCTGCACTGGAAGCGGAGCGGGTGCCAGCAGGGCCCTGGTCGGCCTGCACTGGGTGCTGTGTGCTGCTAGGCCTCCGCCTCGGTCCCACTGTGCCCCCGGGGCCTGGAGACCATGGACAGGACAGCCCTGGTAGAGGCTCCCGTCCAAGAACCGGCATCCACCTTGGCCCTGGCCACCCCTGGGAGCTGCCCGCCAGGATGTGCTGACCCAGCTGCCCATCGCTGTGACGCAAGCCCAGGCTGAGGACAGGATCGAGGGGAGGGAGGGGATGAGGTCGGTGCTGGGACAACATTCTCCCTGCCATCACTTTATTTACTGTCCCTGAACGTTCCTCTCCCTCCCCGGGGGACACATGGCCCAAACTGCAAGGGTGTCTGGAAGGCCCAGGCTCCCGGCTCCCGGCTCCCGGCTCTGCTCTCTGCTCCGCTCCCGGATCCGCGCAGCCAGTGGGCTCCTGGGCGGCTGCGCAAATGTAGGACGAAAGCTCTAAACATGGGAACGTCGTGGCCAGCACCCGGTCTCTGCTCACGTGGCAGCCTTGCGGGGACCTGGCCGCCCGCAGTGGGCTCGTGATGAGCTGGAGTCCTCGCAGTTCTGTCCTGTGGGCGGGACCCTGAGACGCAGGAGGGCAGGCTGCCTGTCCCGGGACATGCTTCTGTCAGAGGACATGTTGCTCGCAGTGACAAGGGACAAGGGGAGGGAGAAAGCGCCCGCTGGGGTGCGGCCCTGCTGTAACCCTCTCCTTACCCCACCTGCTGGGCTTCGGGGCGCACATGCACTTGGTGTGTTCCTCAAGCCACCAGGGATGGGATTCAAAACTTGGCTGGCCATGTGGGCCCCACCTCTGCTACCCAATAGGCCATAGGGCCATGCTGGGATGTAGTTTTTTTTTTTTTTAATTATTTATTTACTTTTATTATCATCATTAATTTTCTTTTCTTTTTTTTCTTTTGAGAGGTTTTTGCTATAGGGCATGTGCACTCACCCGAGAGACAGAGAGAGACAGAGAGACAGAAAGTGAGAAATCACCCCCAGGGGGGATGACCACACCACAATCCCTTCTCCTCCATTCTCCTCTCGGGATCTTGGGCACGCACACACATGTGCCCGGCATGAGTTTAAGCCACCAGGCCCGGGACTCGCACCGCGGTTGACTAGATGGGAGTCCAGCGACACAGCCATTACGCTAACTGCTGGTCCCATCATCATTAATTTTCTTTAACTTACTATAGGGCACATGTGCTCACCAGAGAGAGACACAGAGAGTGAGAAAGAGAGAGACGGAAAGTGAGAAAGCAAGTTGCCAGGTCTGGGACTCACGTTGCTGTGGGCCATGTGGGAGTCCACGCCTTAACCACATTAACCCGCTAGGCCCAGGATGTAGATTTTTGAAAAGCTTTTAAAAACATCTATTCATGGGACCAGCAGTTAGTGTAATGGCTATGTCGCTGGATTCCATGTAGTTGACCGTGGTTTGCATCCCGGACCCGGTGGCTTAAACTCATGCCGGGCACATGTGTGTGCGTGCCCAAGATCCTGAGAGGAGAATAAAGGAGAAGGGATTGCGGCGTGGCCATCCCCTTGGGGGCGGTGTGATTTCTCGCTTTCTGTTTCTCTGTCTCTCTCTGTCTTTCTGACAAGTGCACGCACCCTATAGCAAAAACCTCTCAAAAACAAAACAAAACAAAACACCCCAAAAACCATTTGTGTGGGAGACACAGAGAGGGAGACTGAGAGACACCCTGTCTGGGTCCTGGCGAGGTGACCCATTGTGCTCCAGCCCGCCCTGGACCAAGGACACTGGAGGAGTACCCAGCTACCCAGGAAGGTTCTGGACGAGAACTTGGCATCTGCCCATGGGGTCGCCTCGCTGGGCGGTGCTGTTTGCTGTGGCCCCAAGGTCTGGCCCAGGGTGGGGACTTTAGTTCTTATGGGTCAGGTTCTGAGATCCAAGCTCTTTCAAAAAGAGCCCTGTAGCCCGTGAGTCTGGGGAGAATCAGGGATGGTGGCTGGCCGTGCCCTGGCAGGGGTGGGGCGAGATGGGCCTGGGCAGACGTAGGCAGGTCAGCAGGGGCATGCCAGGCCCCCCTCGGCAGGCTGCAGAAGAGAGGCACCCAGTCCCCGGAGCGCCACCCAGCACAGAAAATGCAGCTTTGGTACCGAAAGGCTGAGGCCAGGGCTTCCTGGTGGCTCGTCCTGAGCCCTGGGGCTGGCCCGTGACCTAGTTTCCTTACGGTCCTTCATGTGCATTCTGTGTCCCCACTGTCATGCTTCTGTGTTGTGCGAGTCACCCACTCAGCAGCTGGGGCCGCAGCAGACCTCCGGGGTGGAGGAGGCCTAGGCCTGGAAGAAGCTTCTGGAGCTCGGGGAGGACGGTGGCATGTCTGTCTGTCTGACGGTCGTGCCCCAAGGTTAAGGAGACCCCCCGACTCTGGCCTTTGTGCTGGTGCCAGCTGGAGGCCAACTCCTGCCGCACGTGCGAGGCTCCTGCCGCCCCGCGTGGCCAGCTCTGGTGCACATCTCGGCGGCAGCTCTCCTGCTCGGAGCTGCGGTGCCGTCCAGCCCTGGGCCACCCCTCGGCCCAGTCCAGCCTCCACAACAGCTGCCGTCCGGCACTCAGAGCCACCGCCCAGGGGGACAGGTGCTCCTCTGCCTGCTCCTGAAGCCTGGCAGCAGCCAGCCCCTTCTGGCCCAGAGTGGTGGTGGAGGTGGAGGCTGCGGCAGGTGTGGGTGTTTTGGAGAACAGGGCCGGCCAACCCTGCCCACAGGGCTGAGGGCGCAGGCCGAATTTCCTGCTCAAGGGGAACTCGTGTGCCCTCTGTGGGCCTGACAGGGCTGCAGGAAGCTCAGGACTGGACCACCAGGAAGGCTCTGGAGCCCTGGAGGTGGCCCGTGCGCCCGGAGGTGAGCAGGAGGGGAGGAGGGGCTGACTTCCGCTCTGCACACCTGACCCCCACCTGAGCGCGCTCGGCCGAAGGGGGGCAGGCTGGCTCTGAGGTGTGTTCTTTCCAGGGCGGGGTGGGGCCGAGCCAAGCCTGGAGCCTGATGCCGATATGGGACGGAGAGGGAGAGAGGCCGGGTGGGTCTGGGGTGGGCCTGGGGTGGGCCTGGGGTCTGCTGTCCACAGGCAGGATTCGGACTGCAGTCTCGCTGTCAATTATGGGGGTGTTTCTCCCACCTCATTGCCAGTGGGGTATTCCACGAGGAAGAGAAGGAAGCGCCTACCTAATTAAGGTGCTCCAGGGACCCTGTTTGGGCAGGGCTGGTCTCTGCTCAGGGGTGAGGGTTAGCGTCCCCGCAGGTGTGCAATCCCTTCGCCATTTCACGCTCTCTCCGCTTACAGAGGGCAGGAGGCTGCCCCTTCTCCCTGCTCCATCCTGCACTAGGACCCCGGGCAGCCTCCCTGGATAGGCCTGAGAGGAGGGGTGGCGACCTGCTGGCTTCACCCACCAGACTCTGAGCTCTGAGTCCTGTCCCGCGGCCCCCTGGACCTACAGCTCCAGCACCGTGGCCCGGCCACCCAGCGAGGGCCCAGGGCCTGAGTGGCCTCCTCAATTTCCCTGTGTCTTGCGTGGGGCTGGTGGGGTGGCCTCCCATTAGCAGGGCTAACCCAAGAGCTGAGGGCAGAGGGCACCCACACAGGGCCTGGCCCGCGGGGGCCACAGTGAGCGGCTGGCAGCCCTCCCCGAGCTCTGTCGACTCTCCCTGCCCTTGAGTTACAGGGGTGGCTTGCTGGAGGTGCTGGGGTGGCCATGGGCGACTCTGAACCAGTGCACTGGGCACAGGTGACCCTGGGGACAGTGAGGGGGGACTCTACTGAATCCTGTCCCCGGGTCTGCTTTCAGGGGAGCCCCGGTGTGGAGCGGTGGATGCTGCTGTGTCACATAGGCCCGCAGAGTACAGGACGCTAGGAGGATCCTCCGCCCCGCTTAAGAGGTGCCGGTCTCTCTGGGGCGGGTGGGTTGGGACCTTGAGCAGACTCCCTGGGGAGGCATCCTTTGACAGAGGCTGGCGCATCGGGCTGGGGGTTGGGAGAATAGTGGGTGGAGCCTGTGCCCCTGAGACCCCCCACCTGGCCCCACCCAATAAGAGCTGGGGAGCCAGGACAGCCCTTTACCCCCACGCCCTCCACAGGGCCAGAGGCAAGGTGGCGCGTGGCTGGCGCCAGATGGGCTCCGGTCGGTTCCTCTGAACCGTCTCGCGCGTGCAAGTTACTCGGCTGCATCAGCAGCTGGGGCCTCGCGGGGAGTTAAACATTAAGCGGCGTGTGCTGGGGGATGTGGGCTCGAGTGCCCAGGGCTAACGGTCAAGGGCCTGGCTCTGGGCTAAGCGGCGTGTGCTGGGGGATGTGGGCTCGAGTGCCCAGGGCTAACGGTCAGGGGCCTGGCTCTGGGCCTCTAAGGGATGGTTACTGCAGGGGATGAACCAAGGCTCTACGTCCGGGGTCTCTGACGGGCCCCAGGAGTGGGCCCGCCCCCAGAGGGACTCCCAGTCGCCCCCACTGGGCCACGTACCTCTGGGTAGGGTGCCAGCTGGGCAGGGTTGGGCTAGAGGCTTTCCAAAGGCTCCTTGGTTTCCCTGCAGGCTAGGGCTGGGCACAGTCTGGGGCATCTTTCCCAGGACCTAAGAGCCATCCTCAAGCCAGGCAGTAGGTGCCACATGTGGGGCCATGGAGCCGCAAAGGCAGACCTCAGCCTGGGGGGCAGCAGCTGGCCTGAGACCCTGGCGGGCAGGTCATGGACAGGCTTGGTCCCCGCTCAATATGTACTGAGTTCTGCACTCTACAGCAGAAACAGAAAGACCTGGAGGTGCAGCAGCAGGTAGGACTGCTCTTGGTACCAGGGTCGGGGAGAGAGGGCCGTGAACGGCGGGGTGAGAAGGGAAGGGACACTCGACAGACCCCAAAATGTACAATTCTGTTGAAAAGGATGTACATAATGAAGGCATTACTTTGATGGACAGAAATAAATAAATAGAACTTGAAGACGACATAAACTAAAAATACATGTAAATAAACAGGCATGGCCGTCCCGCCCTGCCCCAGCCTGCTTCCATCTGGCTCTCTCTCGGCTGTGTGGGCACGCTGCCGGTGCTGTGCCTCCAGGGAGCACCCAGCCGAGGGGCCGGGAAGCAGGCTGCTTGGACGCAGTGTGGTCAGTGCTTCGGGAACACACTGGAGCCTTCGCTGTGGCTGCGCCTCGAGGACACGGGGGCTCTGGGAGTTCGGGCAGGAGAACATGCGAAAGCAGGGGGCACGGAAGGCTGGCACGAGTCTCTGCGGGAAGTCCTCAGGAGATGGTGCAGGGACAGCACACCACACAACCTTGGCCACTCGTCCTGTTGGCTAAGACCCAGCCAGGCCTAATGCCTGCTCCGACTGTGCTTTGTAAGTAAGTCTCTGTGTCTGAGTCTGCCCTCAAAGGCCGGCACGAGCTGATGCATCTGTGCCCTCTGGGGCTAGCAAACAGTAAGACCTGAGGAGTGCTGAGTGGGTTCCGAAAAGGCACGTGAATGGATGGGTGGCCGGTGGGTGGGTGGGCGCATGGATAGATGGGTGAATGGGTGATATTTGAATGTGTGGTTGGGGTGGGCAAATGTGTGTTTGGATGAATGGGGGTGGGTAAGTGAATGAATGAATGGGTACATGGATGGATGGTGGCTGGATGGTGGATGGATAGATGGATGGTGGCTGGGTGGATGGTGGATGGTGGATGGATGACTGAGTATGTGGGTGAGTGAGTACGTAGATGGATATCTGGATGGTGGATGGATGGATGGATGGTGGATGGATGGATGATGGATGGATGGATGGATGGTGGATGGATGGGGCTGGATGGAGGGATTGAGGGGGTGGGCGAGTACGTAGATGGATGTCTGGATGGACGGATGGACGGTGGCTGGATGGATGGATGATGGATGGATGGTGGATGGATGGATGGATGGTGGATGGTGGGGTGATGGGTGGGTAGGTGGTGGATGGTGGATGGATGACTGAGGATGTGGGTGGGCGAGTACGTAGATGGATGTCTGGATGGATGGATAGATGGTGGCTGGATGGGTGGTTGGACTGCTGGATGGCTGGATGGCTAGGTGGATACTTACAGCTTAGACCAGAAGTCACAGACTCTCACACAGAGCTGCGGCACCCCTCCTGAGGCCCTGGTGGGTGGAAGTGGTTGGATGGTCTGCTAACGTGCACCTTCTTTCCTTAATGAAGATCCCCAGGGGTGGAGTCTTCGCATGCTATTGAGTGACGCTTGCCGGCCCACGGGATCCTCCTTGTTGTGGAAGGGGGAGACTCCTCCTCGGGGTGACTGTCCGAAGTCAGGTGGGGAAGGCATGGGTAGGCCTAGGGGATGCTGGACAGAGGCCAGCTCAACATGGCATCAGTGAGTGAAGCCAGGGTCACCAGGGGACTGCAAGGTGATGGAAGGTGAGACTTCAGATCTTTCTGGAAGAACACGAGGGCTTGCTTATCAGCTGGACCCCGTGCCCCTCTGGCCATCCCCTCACTAGCTGAAATGGGAGTGGATTCTGAACCTGGTGGGGGTGGCGGCGAGGGCTGAGAGCAGAGGCTTAGGCCGCATCTGGTGTGAGCCCACCGCCCCACATGCAGCAGTGGACATGCAAGGTCTGGCTGTCTTGGCCTCACAGCCTCCAGGACAAGGGTCAGGCTGGAGGTTGCAGGGACCAGCACTTCACAGCTGGGCCTTGATGCCACCAGACAAGGGCAGGTGGCTTGCCCCTGTCCTCAGCGGTCAGGCCACATGTATCTGTGTAAAGGCACCCCAGCCCTCCTGGTTCCCTCTAGCTGAGACTTGGGGGGATGAGGAGCCGTGTCACCATGGAAGGCACCAATGTCCCTGCTGCGAGGCCTTGGTCAGGCATGGTCTTCCCTCCATTCCTTGTCTGATGCAGTCAGGCCTCCTGCAGCAGGCAGGAAAAGACCCAGGGCAGGGGCCCAGGGCATAGGGCGGCATCCGACTGTCCATAAGTACATGGAAACAAGGCCTTCAAAGCGAGTGCTGCTGCTCCCCGCAGTACCACGACACACTGCCTGCCCACGGTCTGGGCAGCTAGCAGGCAGCGTGACCGTCCGGCACTCCCTAGGGGCCATGTCCCCCCTACCCAGGAATCTCGGGGTGTTCTCGTCCTGGGCCTGGCCCCAGACTGGTGAGAGGTCAGAGGCCCGAGCTGGCCTCTCGTTCAACTCTCCACTGGTTGTCGGGCAGCGACAGGACCAGGTCACTCACGTCCCCAGGACGACTCTGGCACCGAGGGCTGCCCGAGATGGAAGGTGCGGGGGCATGGCGGCTCCTTAGGCTCCCCAGTGCACGGTCCCAAGGCCTGTGCTTTCCCTAGGGTCCACCTCAGAGCGAGGCTTGGTGGCCCCAGGTGACGCCTGGGCTCCGCTGCTCTGGGATCTGGCGGGGCAGGAGCGAAGGCATTCCCCGGGTGGGGGTGCTGCAGCCCTCCCTTGGCTGTTCTGGGCTATGGCCGGAAACAGCTCCAGCCCAAATCTGCAATTCCATCGTAAATTCCCCCTCTGGGAATCTTGATTTTCTTTTTGAAAGGTCCTGCTCCTCCAAGCAGGTTTATTTATTTCCAGATGAGCTTTTATGTTATGTTGATAGGCAAGAGGATGGGGTGTCTATGTCCTCCTCCAGGAAGGACCTGTACCGCAGCGCCTTGTTCCTGGGACACAGGCCCTGGAGGCTCACGCTGGCCGCGCAAGCCGAGGAGGGTTACCGACCCCTCTGAGCCCGTCTCCCCCGAGAACTGGGAGTCTGTCATGCAGGTAGCCGACTGCATGTGCGGTCGGATCGGAGGCTGGGTGGTGGGGAGGGGGCTCTAGGACACGCTGAGGGCTACCCGAGGTGGAAGGTGCAGGGGCATGGAGGCTCCTTAGGCTCTAGGACACACTGGTGGGGGAGGGCTGGCACAAGAAAGAGAAGGAAGCGAGCAGACATGAGAGGGCTTCCGAAGTTCGTGACGACGTGTACTATGAAAAAATTATGCATGCAGTTCAAAATTTGCTGCGAAAAAATAAACTTGGTACCTTAATCCCATTGCCCACGGCCCTTTCAAAGTCCTGTGAACATGACGGAGCCGGTCACGGCAACGTGGACGGCCAGTGCTCCCCAGAACTCTGAATCCGTGTGGGACATGCGTGTCAGAGGGAGTGTGGGGGCATGTGTCAGGGTGGGGGTAGAGGGCTGCCTGCCACAAGGCGAAGCCTACAAACACTGACATGGCACGTGTGTGGCCACCATCCCTGTGGTCAGACGATGGGCATGATTTTTGTTTGTTTGTTTGTGTTTTTGGAGAGGTTTTTGCTCTAGGGCACATGTGCTCACCAGAAAGACAGAGAGAGACAGAGAGACAGAAAGCGAGAAATCACCATCAGCACAATAAAGCAAGTGAGTTCAAGGTTGGAATCATGTTATGACAATGGCTACATGGCTTAGAGGCCTGAAACTTTGGAAACTTGCAATGGTTTCAGTTTACTTGTAGTGTTCTTAGGAGTTCTTGGGAACTGATGTCCTTGGCTCACTTAATTTCAATTTTGGCTTTTATCCAGCCAAAATTGTATTATAGATTGAAGCAGGGCAGTAGTATTATGAGGCAAAATGAAGGACAGAGTCAAGAAATATTTAAGCTGTAACTTGGAGAGGAGCTTGTTATTGATTATAAGAAAGAGAAAAAAAAAGAGTTGTCTGCCTTCAAGACAAGGTAACTAGTGATATTAGTCAGAAAATACAGGATAAGGAGGAAGTTTGTCAAGAGATTAGTTTTACATACTTTGAATTTGAGATGCTAATATCACAGTTAGCCTGGGGATGTTCAATGTTATGTATTTCTGGAATGCCGCAAAGAGGCATGAGTGCAAGATTTGGATTCCATAGTGTGATAGCTAACTTTTTTTTTTTTTGGAG